TGCTCCCTAGGTACATTGATTTTTTTTTTTTTTTTTTTTTTCCCCCTCAAAAACCCTGGAATTCTTACAGGAAAGAGATTTTGAGACTGAAACATTTTTGTGCCTAGACTGGAATAATGCCCCTTGGGTTTGTACTTTTTTTTTTTTTTTTCCTCCTCTTTTCTCTGCCTTCCTCCCCCATTTCTCCTTTTTATTATTATTATTATTATTTTTTAAGCTTACTCTGCTGTGTCCCACCTTCACATTCTGGTTGTGCCTCTCCCTCCCTCTTCATTGGGGATTGGGGACCCAAATTGCGCTTCTGCATTTTTACTCTTCTAGCACAAACATGTAACATGTGAGAATCCATGCTGAGGATTGGGCTACTGTTAACAGAAATGTGTAAAATGCAAGTTTTGGGGTTTTTTAAGTTATATATAGAGATATATGCAAATATTTTCCCCTCCCCTCCGAAATCACCTACAAAAGGTCGYTCTGAGAGGCTTCCTGTTTGTAAGTGGAGAGGAGCAAAGCCGGCCTACAGGCCCTGAGGCTGTAATGTGAAGGGGAGGAGACTGAAGTTCATCTGTCTTATCTCTGTTCTGTCAATAAAATGGAGCTAGTTCTTTAGATTTTTTATTATTATTTTAAAGAGGAAGAATATTTTTCTTTTTTTTTTAAAGTATCTTGGCTTTTTTTTTTGCGTGCGCACTCATATGTTCAAAATCTCAAATCCTCCACAGTAACAGGCCAGACCATGGAGTTAACGCAAACCCAGAGACCCCTATGGATTAATTGTACTGTTTGTGAATTTGTATAAAAAAAATAACAAAGATCCTCTTAAAACATTTTATATTCTTACAGTAAAAGGTTAAACTGATATTTATATAATAAAAGAGGAAATATGAAGTATGTTTTTGAAAAAAAACCTGCACCTGTGTTGTCTGTGCTTTTTAAAGACAGGTCTGCTATCTGTTGATGCTGGTAAGTGTGACCAAGCCCCATGAGGGGAAGGGAGGAGGGAGTCTGGTCCCGCCCGTGCAGGATGCTAACGTCACCATCAAAAGTTGATTAAAAAAATGGTAGTTCCAGCTTTGTAGGCAAGAAGTCACCTGCTCTCGGCCTCTGTGAAGAGAATCTGCCTCACGCAGCGGATCAGAGCTGTGGGTCAGCTCGGTGTGAGGTGAGACCCGCTCCAAGGAGCCCACCCCTTGGAAGGGAACGGAGCGTATTTACTAATTTTTAACATATTTACTAATTTTTAAAGCTTATGTGGCAGAGCTGTGTGTGTTAGAGAGATTTATTTGGCCTACGTTGACAGCCATCCTCACCAGCCCCTGCAGAAGGCCAATCCAATAAAACCATTTCCTGTAAGGGCAGTTACCTAAAACTGCACTCTGGCCAGCCCAGGAAAACCTGGGGTAGCTGAAACGGTTGGTTTCCATTGCCCAAGCAAAGATAAAACTAAGGAGGAAGTAAAGTGGAAATTTAAAAAAAAAAAAAATGTTTGAATAATCTAAGGTGTCCTTTGTATTCCACCGTAATCTTTCTCTTTAATGTATGACTTTTAACCTGACAGGGTCCCTTTCAGACTTCCCCGATGTGGGTTTTTTATTGTTGTTCGAGATGGAGCTTAAGCGGTGTTTATGGGGCCCGAACAAAGCTCTCCTCCCGCTAAGTCCCGCAGCAGGGCCTGCTCTTCCCCCCCTTGCCCGCTTGGCAGGAGGGGCTGGGGCAGGGAGGCCGCGAAATGGTGGAAGCGGCGGCGAGGCCATTGTTCGGGAAAGTTAAAAGCGGAGCTGTCCCTGCTCGCTGCTTGCTCAGTCATGCATAGTGAATCCCGCCGCGCGAGGGTCCCTATGGAAGGGAGGAGGAGGGTGATTCTTCCCCTCTTTTTAACATTCCTCTCCAGGCCTGGCTGTATTTAAGCCGCTTTCCTCTGCACGGAGGAGGGAAGGAGGGAGGGAGGGAGTGTGGGGGGGATGGTCTGAAGTTCCTGTACATTTGCATTTTAAGCACTTCCAGCGCTGAGCCGAGCGGGCCACTTTGTTCCAGCCCCTGCCATCCTGCGCCGCGGGCCTGGCCCGCCTTGTGCTGCAGGTCGGGGGGCTGCCCACAGCGCAGCCCTGGCCAGAGGGGTCCCCTCCGCTCCCGCTACCAACCTGCCCCGGCTGCTCCTCCTCTGTGGCTGCAGGTGGGTTTTGGCCAAGACTCTGCCATATCCAGACCACCCCACCCCTTTCCCACCTCCCTTTGGGAGCAAAAATACCTTGGAAGAGGGCAGAGCTGCCTACCATCTCCCCCGCCTCCTGAGTGGGGCTGGCACCTAGGCTGCCTCAAGATCCAGGCTTTTGAGGCTGCTTCCCCCCCCCGCCCCAAGACTTCCAAGCTTTCTGCTGGGACTTGGTGACAAAAGCGGCATTGTTCGCTTTGGGGAAGGCCACCACAATTGGATCTAATTGAGCCTGACACTATATCCATCTTCCTTTCCTTGGAGGGAGGTGTGGGGTCTTTCTTCCCTGTGTTAGAAAAGAAAAAAGTCTACAATAACTTCTTGACCGAAAAAGAGGATGTATGTATGAACACTGCAAACAACAGGGATTCCACGTCGGGTTCCTGCTACCCTGGAGCACTTAAGTGGTCAGTGCAGTCCTAGCAAGACTGGAGAATGACGTCTCCTACCAGGCAAGTTTGCTCCTGATAGATCTTGGTGGAAACACACAGCAGCTCCTTATCAAACCCCACATTGGCATGAATAACACTCGAACATCTAAATGATCATAACATGTGTGTTCTTTTTAAATTCTGTAATCAGATGCTGGACTCAAAAAAAAAAAATACTCTCCCTATTAAAAAAAGAATGCCCACATGCTATTGAAATGGACGGCAAACCTGCCTCCAGCCTCGTGTTTAAACACACCAGGCTTCCCACAAAAGGCACAAGTGCTCCCTATGGATTGCCTCTTTCCAACACGCAGGAAAGACAGTCCTGCCTCGGCCCTGCCAGGTCTGCCTGTCTATCGAAGTCAGAGTTGGAAGAACACGGGTGTTTACCAGCACACAGAAGAGCTTCTCAAAATAAATCATCCATTGCTAGCAGCCATAGACCAATTACCATGCAACTCCTCAGGGTAACRGGGAAACTGACTTTTTGCTCTCCAGCCACCCTTTAATTTTTGAACACAACTCAGTTGGCAACCAAGAAAACCAAACAAAGCTCTGTTTGGGAGTGACCTGGAGATCCCCCACCTGCGTCGCAGAGGTTGCAGTGCCAGACACGTGCCAGAAACCCACCGACACAGCAGATCCCTGCGAGTGCGTGTGCGGGTCTGGAGGCAGCCCTGGCTTTCCCGGCCTGCCGGTCCCAGCTGTCACTTCTGAGGCCACCAAAAGCTCTCCCAGCATGTCCAACCTTGCCTGCTGAGGCAGCAGAGCCCCTGCTCTGGAGCACCTAGGGCAGTGCAAGCCAGGTGCAGGGGCCAAGCTAAACCAGGACTTTGCTGGCTGCCCAGCCTCCTTCATGCAGGTGGTGGCACAAAGCGGAGCGGAGCAGGTGTGAAGCCACAGGGGAGAGAAGCACCCAGGCAGCAGAGGAAGAGGAGGCAGTGGCCAGGGATCGAGCAGTACAGRCAGGGGGAAGCTGGCTCACAAGCTGCAACGACGTCCCTGAGCGTGTGAGGGTCCCTGCTCTGCTGCAGCAGCTGCTCCCCTGGCTGGAGCCTCTAGCTGGCTCCTTTCCCTCCAACACCACATTTGTGAAGGGGGGAGATGGGGTGGAAGGAGGAGGCTCCACCTGGGTCCAACCGCCCTGGACAGCACAAGAGGTCTCTGCTAGTGACCGCTAAGCTTGAAACGTTTGTTCATTTTTATACCTTCTCACCTCACATTGCTGGTCCTGCTGACAGTGCTTGCTGTAGTGATTCAAGGGGCTTTGGTTTCCCCGCTAATAAATAACACAGGTCTTGGGATAGGTTCAGGCAAACTGTTTGGGATCCATGTTAGTATAAGAGGTGGTCTGTGCAGAATATTATATAACTTGTTACTGAACCTGCTYATCCTTTGGGAAGAGTTAAAGCAAGAGTTGCCTGGCTAAGACACCCAAAGCTTTCAAAAACAAAACTAGAAGGTAACACTCACCGCCCTTAACAGCTCCTAGACAGTTATCCCTTAGCTCTGGCAGCCCACTCCATGCATGGGTTCACTCTAGCAAAGGGGACACTCGCTTTTTCCCCCACCCCTCTCGTGTCACTACCTTAAATCCAACTCTTTTAGCCAACAGCTCTTTAAAGAGTACCTTCTGTGGAGAAAAGATAATCGATAAACTCAACTGGGTGGTTCAGGCAGAATTTGAGGACCCCTAAGGACATCAGCTAGGCACTATGCCAAAGCTGCTGGCTCGGTTGCATAATGCTCCCTGCCGGGRCGAGCCAGAGAGCCCTTCCCGCTGAATTCCCGGCCCTAAGCTGCATGAAATAAAGAGCTGGAGAGGGTTTATTAGGCTCCTATGCCAGAACTCAGATTCCAGCCACGTTTGGCAGTGACACTAGTGCTTTTCCCCCCTCTTTAATTAAATCTACTGGCTAAATGCCAGTCCCACCTGAAATAGTCCTGCAAAGATGTCCAAAGAGAAAAAAAAAAAAAAAAAAAAAGAGAGAGAGAGAGAGAGAGAGAGATCTGACCTGTCCTGTCCTCAAGACAGAAAGATGAATGGAAACTGGATTTTCTTAAAATATTTCCTGAAAACAAGGGTGTGTTTTTTGGAGACTGGGTCAGAAGTTTAATGCTGGAGACTAGA